CACTGCCATCCTTCACTTGCCAACCACTTCAAGCTGCTCCTGAGGACTTGTGAGGCTTTCTAACTTTACAGTTTACAGATCTCTGGCTTAGTGGATTGGCACGGGGTTAAAAGAGCCTTTCATTCTGCAACTACTTTTTCAAACCTGCCTGTGATCAAAAGTTATTAGTTTCTGTCGTTTGACAGCAAGCATGAGGTGAGCTTAAATTTTGACTGCGGCTAAATCCACATCACTGTGGCAGTGTAACCATACCTCTTCACGTCTCTAGAACAGGATCGCAAGCTGGAATTTGCAGGAAGTATACTGACGAAGCCAAAGTGTCCATCTCCCTCTTCTTCTTTTTTTTTTTCTCTCTCTCTCTCTCTCATTTTTTAGTTTCTTGGCTAAATATTGTTGTGTGTGTGTGATTCGTATTTACAGGCTTCCAGTCTCTAATAGGGGATTCTCTAGCTGTCTGAAGATCATGACAGTTGGACTTACAGCTACAGTTCCACAAATACCCATACCTGGTTTATAGTCTAGCATTGTTTTTGTTTTGTTTTTTATTTTACCGTGTAATATCAGAGTTGCTTACATGCTAAGTTCCATAATCATACTGCATACATTCTATGAAATCAGTACATTTTTATTTGTAATTGGAAAACCTCCCACATTATTTTGGTCTCAGGGGAAGAAGATACATGATGTTACATGGAAGCTTTTTTCCTTTCATGTTTGTTGCATCTCGATGGACAAAGCAATATTGTACAAAGAGGCCAATCATTCTCCAGTTTTCCAATAGCCTCATTGTCTTGAAAGGGAGTTTTTCATCATGAGAGCATTGAATTACTTCTAGTGCTTGTGGTGTAGGTGGTAAAATGTGTATACTATAACCCATTATAGCAATCATCACACATTAACCAATTCTGCCAAGCCTCTCTCATTGAATGGATTTCTTTCATACTACACAATGGTTTTACTTATTCCCCGTATCATCAGCCTTTGCAGACTTCAATAGGTTTCACCCATTGTTCCTGTTAAATATGTCTGAGAGTAACAGCAATTTTCTATTATCTGGAATTCTTACTGTGATCATATGGCTCTGTGTTCGGCTACAGCTAGCATCAGGTGAGCTGTTTAAGGTAGTGCCCAGAATATTGGACAGGGTTCAAATGAAATCTCACTATAGCAAGATGTAACTGTCTTTGCCGGGTCCTCTCTCTCTCTCTCTTTTTCTTTTCAGATGTATTCTCTTTCCTTTATAGTATTTCCTGAGGTCCAGATAAGCTCAGGGAAACAAGTGGCTTTCTTTCAGTCTCCATACTTGAATAAGTAAATTTTCGATGTTACTGTCAAGAAATCTTATGTCCCTCTCCTTTTAGAGTTTTAATTATACTTATGCATAAATATATTTTGGAGACTTGTAAGACCTGTCACTAATTCTTTGTACGTTCTCCCATTACGTTAATTTTACTTGTGTAGGAGATGGAGAGCTGAGATCCAGGCAGTAGGAGATCTGTATACCGAGTAGCTAAGTTCTTTTCTCTCATTCGTTGGGTATAGATCTGTGGACTCAAATTTTACTACAGAGCTATACAAGCTGTAGAGTGCAGCTGTAACAAGTAAGAATGTGTAGCTCTCTATAGGCAAACCCTAGCTGTACCACGTTACAATGTGCAGTTCTCTATAGGCAAACTCTAGCCATACCATGTTAGAATGTGCACCTCTCTATAGGCAAACCCTAGCCATACCATGTTAGAATGTGTAGCTCTCTATAGGCAAACCCTAGCCGTACCACGTTAGAATGTGCAGCTCTCTATTGGCAAACCCTAGCCGTACCACGTTAGAATGTGCAGCTCTCTATAGGCAAACCCTAGCCATACCACGTTACAATGTGCAGCTCTCTATAGGCAAATCCTAGCCGTACCACGTTAGAATGTGCAGCTCTCTATAGGCAAACCCTAGCCATACCACGTTAGAATGTGCAGCTCTCTATAGGCAAACCCTAGCCGTACCACGTTAGAATGTGCAGCTCTCTATAGGCAAACCCTAGCCGTACCACGTTACAATGTGCAGCTCTCTATAGGCAAACCCTAGCCGTACCACGTTAGAATGTGCAGCTCTCTATAGGTAAACTCTAGCCATACCACGTTAGAATGTGCAGCTCTCTGTAGGCAAACCCTAGCCATACCACGTTACAATGTGCAGCTCTCTATAGGCAAACCCTAGCCGTACCACGTTAGAATGTGCAGCTCTCTATAGGCAAACCCTAGCCATACCACGTTACAATGTGCAGCTCTCTATAGGCAAATCCTAGCCGTACCACGTTAGAATGTGCAGCTCTCTATAGGTAAACTCTAGCCATACCACGTTAGAATGTGCAGCTCTCTATAGGCAAACCCTAGCCGTACCACGTTAGAATGTGCAGCTCTCTATAGGCAAACCCTAGCCGTACCACGTTAGAATGTGCAGCTCTCTATAGGCAAACCCTAGCCGTACCACGTTACAATGTGCAGCTCTCTATAGGCAAACCCTAGCCGTACCACGTTAGAATGTGCAGCTCTCTATAGGTAAACTCTAGCCATACCACGTTAGAATGTGCAGCTCTCTGTAGGCAAACCCTAGCCATACCACGTTACAATGTGCAGCTCTCTATAGGCAAATCCTAGCCGTACCACGTTAGAATGTGTAGCTCTCTATAGGCAAACCCTAGCTGTACCACGTTGCAATGTGCAGCTCTCTATAGGCAAACCACAGCCATTCTGAGTGAGAAGATGCAGCTCTTGACAGGTAAACTTCCACTGGTCTTGTTCTGGCAAAATAGGAAAATAGAACAATTAACATTCATCATATATCTGTTTGGGATCATATTTGAGGAGCATCGCTGTATAAAAAGAAATGCTTTTTGCCTATGAAGAATTTACTTGGTGCTTCAGATTCTGGATGTCTGTCCCATTGTTGTTTGAATTAAATTGCTTAAATGAAAACATTAGTGCAGTTCTGATTGTTATTTATTCTCTTCTAGAAATTCCCTGAACTGAAGTTTAAATACGTGGAAGAAGAACAGCCGGAGGAATTTTTCATACCATATGTCTGGTCTTTAGTCTATAATTCTGCAGTAGGACTTCACTGGAGCCCTCAGGACATCCAGCTTTTCACCATGGACTCTGGCTGACAAGGAATCTAAGCTCTGTAACTATTACCGCATCTGACTTAATGGCTTCACTGCTTGGAAGTGGAGCGTAACATTCTGCATTTTGGCGTCCTCCACCACTGAACAATTCTGAGCAGAGAACTATGGGACATCCCAGAAACTCTTGTGCTTAATGCAACAAGTTATATTCTAAGGGTGTACACAACCCATAATATATATGTTTATATGACATGGGTATGTTTGCACCACAATCAATCTAAAGTCTTCAGTTTTAACATTATTTTCTCCTGCTCTAGGCTGTTTCCTTATTTTATGATGCTAAATAAGGCAATATGTTTTACGTTTCATGTAAAGGGGTCATATGGTATATCTCTTTAAAAGCGATGAAAGTGATTTAAACATTATATGGGTATCTTGTATTTGGTTTTCACTTGATTGAATAAAGCTGTGACTTTGACTGACAGTACAGTAGACATATTTCTAAATAGCTTTCTCTCCTTAAAGGCTATGTTTGTGTCATTATATGTGTGTAAATATATAAATATATATATATAAACATATATACTGATCTCTTTTAATGCATTTGAAGAACAAAAGTAGCACTTTCAGCTTCCAACTTTCCTACAAAATAGAAGTTTTCTTATTGTTCACCAAAGATGTATTATCATGTGTCCACAGAAAAAATGATTTAGAAAGATATTGACATTTAAAAATTAGTTTTCTTTTTTCTTTTCTTTTTTGTAATAAAAAAATTCACAGCTTTGAGAGGAGCAATGTTTAGAAAGCACAAAATGACCTAGATCTTAGGGACACCACCATGCTTCTAAAACAAATCAATGACCTGGAATCCAATTTGCCATGCAAAGATGTATTCACTAAACACTGGATGCTGATGAATTGAGAATAGAATTGTGAAATTCAGGCTAAAATAGCCAAGTTGTTGCAACATAATTGGAAAATTTCTCCAAATTGGTAATTTTTACCTAAATTTTATTCTGTTTGATTTTCCATTCTCTGTTTACTGAATGAGCCTCTTAGGCTACTGGTCACAGAGCTTCCGTATATCAATAAAAGAGGCATGTACTGGAAATAAAGAATGTATATTCTTAATGCTGCGTGTTCGTATTTACATAGTACTCGTTTAATAAACACATTTTCTTGATGAATTGTAAGCACAGAAGACTGGTTAAATAAATGTAATCCAACAAATTGCTCAAATACCTTTCCATTAAATATTTTCTTTGAAATTTGGCACTTCTGGTGGACAGTGGAGTAAATAATAAACCGATATGTAGTGAGAATATGATAGTCTTCAGTGGTATTCAAAAGCTGCATCTTGCATAGCACAGGTTTCTGGGTTCTATTATTACTAAATGAGAGGTCCTTGCCGACAGTGTCTACCATGCTCCATTACCCAGCTCCACTTGTCTACCAGAAATACCAACTGCCCATATAATGTCTGTAATGCCTACTACAAGGTATCTGTCACAGGGGCTCGTAGCTTCTAACCTTTGGTACCTCATGCTGATTATATAAATATTCCTGTCATTGGGAACTTTAATTTTATGGCAAGACAGGAGGCTTCATATTTGCTTATCTTTCTTTACTGTAACTCCCAGCAGCAAAGAAATGGTTAACAATGTTGTATGGAAAAATCAACCAATCATAACATATCTCAACTACAATATAGTGTCATCAAACTCCTCCCACTTCCTCTTTCTTTGCTGCTTGCCTCCCAGGTGAGTCTGCTCCAATTGCATTGCTTTACTGGTTTAAGTTAATTCAATATTTATTTAATCTTGTTACTTACACACATATACCTCATCTTAACAAACTTTATTTTTTTGATTTACTCATCTTCCCCTTTAAATATTTTCTTCTTTCTAACCTCACATATATATTATTTTTCCCTTATTCACTGTATTTGTATTATTGGATTGTTCTCCTTTAAAATTTTACGTCTTACCGGATTTTTTCTCTGAACGGAGGGTTTTCAAACCCTGCCGCTTTCAATCAGCTGGCCGCGGCTTTTTTTCTCTCAGGGAGAGCCGCGGCCCATTCTCTCTTTCTCCTCAGCCGCGGACTCCATTTCCCAGAGTCCGCGGCTGCTATTTCCCGCCCTTATCCTTCCTCCCGCCTACTAGCGTCTGTCTCTTGGACGCAGGCTTTTTCCCGCCCTTTTCAACGGCGGCAAGCTCGCGGCGGCCATTTTCAGCCCCAGAGTAACTGCCAACGGCTCCTCCACTGCGGCGCACAAGTTCTTTTTCAAATCCTGTGGGTACAGAAAATCATATTACTGACTAGCTTGTGGAAGGTAGGTTGCTGCCATCTTATCTCCACCTCATTTCATATACTCATTAAAAAAACGATCACTATACTGATCTATCTCCTATTTGTTTTTTCCACAGGCTTTGCCTACATAGGACCATTCTATTACAATCTGGGTGAACCCCTTTCCCTAATTTGTATAATTACAGTGTGGTTTAATTTTATAAATTTTGTGTGATTGCCTTTTATTGCCCTTCTGTGGGTGACCCCCACTTACTTATTTAAAGTACATATTCTGTACAATATCTGTGTGGTTGATACCACCTACTGAAACACTGCTGTGTTAATATTTATGTGGCTAACCCCACCTGATCTATTTTTGTGGGTGACCCCCATTGTTTACTGTACATTATATATACATTATATATACATTATAAATATTTATTATTAGTGTAAATTTATAGTGGTGACCCCACCTCAGTAACTGAACAATATATCTTTTGTTCACAATCTCTATTATTGGGTGATCCCCATTAATTGCCCTTTACTATTTTATTGTGCCAAGCATTTGTGGGTGACCCCCATTGAATTTGACGTCTCGTGGGTGACCCCCACATCATACTTTCTAATTGAGTTGCCTCATCATTAATTGACATTCTAACGCTTATAATCTATATATATATATATATAGATAGTTGTTTTATAGGGTTTACATTTATCTTTAAATTGACATTATGTCAGATCGCCAAGACCCTGCGATTTCTGCCGAACTTAAGGAATGGCTTTTCTCAACTATCGCAGAGTCCATTCCTAAGGCTCTGGCAGCCTACCATGACCGTAATCCAGAGGTACACCCCTCTACTCAACAACCCTCTGATTCTGAGGATTCCCATATCTCCGACCAAGATAGCGCCCCGCGCAAGAGACCCTGGAAAGGGAATAGCGCTACTGCGGGCAAGGGCAAAGCTCCTGCTAAGGTCGTTAAACACTCTAACCCACACGTTTCGCAGGCTACTACAGACCCTCTAGAGGGTTCTACTTCACATTTGTCTGGCCATATTCTAAGTGACTATGACCCTAATTACTCTGATGAGGATCCCATGGTGAATGTGCCCCAGGATTCCTCAACATCGGAGTTTGTGAAAGAAACCTTCCTAAGTCAAGATCACAAGAGTAAGGTACCTGACTCAGACACCCTCCTGGATGCTTCAGGCCTTCCCCTTTTTGACCCAAGGGTGATACGCCACCCGCGCTCAGCAGAATGGGCTCCCCCAGATCATATTGCTAATTTCTGTAAACTGTGGCTTCGCAAGCCTCTCGAAAAAGAAATCAGAAACAAACTAAGGGCTGAATGCCCGAGACCAACTATTCCAGGCAAAGTTGCCTCTACCCCTGAATTTGACCCCATGCTGGTCACCTATTTAACAAAATCTGGTAAAGACCCTCGTAAGGGTATTGAACAGGGTTTGAAAGCAACCCAAGACAAATTATTGGACATTTCAGGTCCTATCATACAGATATTCATACTAGCAGATGAGGCACTCACCAGCGGTGAACTTGATCCGCACATTATAAGAGAATGGGCACAGAGAGCCCTTTGCCTTTTGGGCAACGCCAATACGGCTATTTCAATTGAGAGACGCAAAGCGGCACTGTACAAAATCGATGCCAAACTGGTGGATTTGAGCACTAAAGAACTAGGCCCAGAGGCCGATGGTCTTTTATTTGGTAACAGTTTCATGCGAGACCTCTCCAAGCATGTCTCAGTTTTTACCACACTCAATAAAGCCCAGTCCTCCCTACGTAGGGTGTTCCGTCCCACTTTTCAAAATCGTTTTTCTGGGAGAGCTGGTCGCTCAAGGGGCCGAGCTACCAGTAGAGCAGCCTTTTCAGGCTACAGGCCCCGACCCACAGAGTATTGGTCCACGGGATACTCACGACCCTACCACAGGCAGCTGTTCAACACCAGAGGTTCAATTCGAGGACGTGGCTCTGCATCCCTGCGCGGACGCACTGCTTCAGGTAATGGACCTTGCTTATTTAAAAACTGTATCAATCGCAGGTCGATTAACATTCTTTTTCCCACAGTGGAAACTTCTTTCTCAGGATCTTTGGATCCTTCATACAGTCACAGGTTTCAAAATAGATTTTATCACACATCCAGTTCAATATTCTCATCCGACACCCTTAGGGATGTCAAAGGCAGATACTCTAACCTTGAACACAGAACTGACAAAATTGTTACACAAAGGGGCGATCGAACCTTCGCCTTTCCCTTGCACCTTCCTCAGCAATATATTTCTGGTTCGGAAAAAAACGGGGGACCATCGTCCCATTATCAACCTCAAGGCATTGAATCGCTTTATCACATACCGTCATTTCAAGATGGAAGGTATCCATCTTCTCAGGGACTTGCTCTGCATGGGAGACTGGTTCTCCAGATTCGACCTCAAAGATGCTTATCTGACGGTCCCTGTAGCACCAAGTCACCGTGCCTTCCTCCAATTCCGTTGGCAGGGCGACATTTGGCAGTTCACCTGCCTCCCTTTTGGACTTTGTTCTGCTCCATGGTGTTTCACCAAGTTGATGAAACCAGTCATGGCGCTCCTTCGTTCTCAGGGCATACGTTCAATTATATATTTGGACGATATCCTGATCATGGCACAAGATCAGCAATTACTTCGCAAACACACACACATGACCTCTGCCCTCCTTCAAAACCTAGGTTTTGTCATAAATTACCAGAAATCAGACCTGGTACCTTCTCAAATAGTCCAATTTTTGGGTTTTCAGATAGATTCAGTTCAAGCAACTCTACAATTACCCTACTCCAAAATAAAAAACATAAAACGAGAGATTCAAAAATTACTCAAGTCACAACGACCTCGACTCCGCGACCTAGCACACGTGCTGGGTCTTCTGTCTGCATCAATTCAGGCTATTTTTCCAGGGCCCTTGCATTACAGAGCAATGCAACGGCTGAAAACCTCCTATTTACATCGCTCGACCTCCTACGACCAATTTCATTTCCCTAACGGACGAAGTTCTTATCGAACTTCACTGGTGGCTTCGCAATATGGAAGCCTGGAATGGGAAAGCGATTTTCGGATCTCAACCAGATTTTATTCTGGAATCCGATGCCAGCCTACTCGGTTGGGGCGCTACGTGCGCCCAATCATACACAGGAGGTCTCTGGTCCCTGTCGGAACAAGCACTTCACATAAATTGTCTCGAGCTCATTGCCGGATCCTTCGCGATCCGCAGCTTTGCCAAAGAAGCCTCCAACTGCTCTCTGGTACTTCGGATGGACAACATCTCCGCAGTACGATATGTAAACCGTCTCGGAGGGTCCAAATCGAAACTACTGTCAGACCTCACCAAGGATCTGTATCAGTTTTGCTTAGACAGGAATCTGTCTATTCGGGCCGAGTATCTCCCAGGACCCGACAATTTAGTCGCGGACTGGTTCTCACGTCACTGGAGGGATGCCAGCGATTGGCAATTAGATCCTCTTCTATTTCACCACATTCACCTATTGCGGGGACCGATCACTCTCGACCTCTTCGCGTCTCGGCTGAATCGTCAAACAGACGATTATTTCAGCTGGTTACCAGACCCTCTATCCCTAGCTGTCGACGCTTTTCTCCAACATTGGCCACGGGACGGAGCCTATGCCTTCCCTCCCTTCTCCATGATTCAACGTACTCTCCACCAGGTCAAATCACAGAGGGTCAAGATTGTGATAGTTACCCCTCTATGGCGGGCCCAGACGTGGTTCCCCACTCTTCTGGAGCTTTCCACAGACTACCCCATCATTCTACCTCGCTCACATCGGGTTCTCAAGAACTCAACGGGCGACTACCATCCACTAGCTCTACAGGGCCACCTTCAGTTAGTGGCCTGGACAGTTTCAGGGGTGCTTGGCATGTCGCAGGACTTTCAGGCACTGCTCAAACACTCCTATGGGATTCATGGGCACCAGGAACCAGGCGCACCTATCTCGCCGCATGGCGAGTTTGGGTCAGCTCTGGAGAGGGATTTCGATCCCGTTTCAACATCTCTCTCAGCCATTCTAAATTTTCTATCATTCCTTTTCGATCAGGGTAAATCATACCGATCAATTAATGTTTTTCGTTCCGCCATTTCGGCGGGACATGACCCTATTGATAATTCCTTAGTTGGGAAACATCCTTCTGTGTGCAGACTTTTACGAGGCATTCGTTTGACGAGGCCACCTTCTGCCAAATACTCTAGCTTCTGGGACATATCTCGGGTCTTCGCACTGTTAGAGTCCTGGCCTCCTAACGAGGCCTTATCCCTTCGACAGCTCTCTGCAAAATTGGCCCTGCTACTGTGCCTGGTGTCATTCCGCAGAGTTTCTGACGTTCACGCTTTTGATTCACACGCCGTCTCCTTCCAACCAGAAGGGGTCCGATTTACGATTACTAGGCGCACTAAGACGAATTCCTCGTCTGTCTTTTACCCATACTTTCCCGACAGGCCGGCTCTCTGTGTGGCTACGTGTACTCGTTGTTACACAGAGGCAACTGCCGCCCTACGTTCTCCTACCGGTCCTCTTTTCATCTCTTATGTCAGACCTCACAAACCGGTCTCTTCTCCCACTATCGCTCGCTGGATAAGATGGTTACTTATCCAAGCGGGAATCGATAGTTCATTTGGGGCCCATTCGGTTAGGGGAGCGGCCGCTTCCTCTGCCTTTCGGGCCGGCAGTTCATTAGCAGATATTTTGTCCTGCGCAGATTGGTCAAGGGAATCTACCTTTCGGACCTTTTATTTTAAACCAACACAAACACATGCGGCTTGTTCTATTATTCGAGAGCGTTAAAACAGCAAATATGAAGCCTCCTGTCTTGCCATAAAATTAGGGATTATTCTAGCTTGTAGTGAACGAATAATCTGAATTTTATTAAAGACAGGAGGCGAATATTTTCCCTCCCTTCGTTCACTCCGGAACCCACCCTCGAGGTAAGTCTCATAATCACTAATTAATGTATGATACCATTATTTACATACAAATCTGCTATATACGATTTGTTCATCTTGTGGTCCTACACCTCTCTCATAGAG